CAAATCAAGTCTTTACAACAATAGAAGCTTTTTTGATCAATAAACACAATTTGCAACTATTTTGGGCAATTATTGGAAATTTAACAAACCATTGTTGTAAAGACTTGATTTGACTATGTCAATAAGGGTTCCTTAATCTGATTTTTAAGATAATTTTCCTCTCTTTACGATGTAAATTGATAATTTTTTGAATGTATGTATGTTGTACCTGGGCAGTAATTGCCTTCTGATACAATCAATAAAGACCATTTGCAACAAAGAAGTAAAATTTGTTTAGTTATAATATACAAATTAAAGTTTTATACTCTTTCTTTTAATGTAAATTTTTTTCATAATCATTTTTATTATTTAAAAACTTTTATTTTTATTAAATTTAGTATTGAAATTTGAATATAAATGATTAGATCTTATAAATAATCTCTTAGAAAAGAACCAAATGGCCAATGAAAATTTGGAATATTGCAAGATATATTTTCTTTTAAAAATAAATTCATTTCATCCCTTCATACTTCAGAGATACTTCATTCTAACAAAATAATAATTCCCTTCAATTGGTGCTGATTTTATTCACACATATATGAATTATACATTATACTCTATCATGCTTTATCGGAAATTGAAATAGCATTTTTTCATTGAAAAGTTCTCCTAGCATGTAGCATCTTTGTAAAAAAAAATTAACTTTTCAATTCTCTAAAAAAACATTGAATTGGAATGGAAGAACACAAAAGTATGACAATTTACATTCCCATCCCATTCTGTTTTGGATATTTTCTGCATCAAATTTTATTCGTTCTGTAAGAAATACATAAAACCACATACAGCGCTTAGGAGAAAATTTTACAGCCACAAAAAAGCTTCGTCGTAAAATTCAACGTTTTGGCACAAGCAGTGCGGGACCGAAAATCATCAATCAATGGTGGGGCGACGCGATAACATGACAATTGCTTGTTCCTCGGCGTGTTATCTTTCGGGGCGAGCCGCGTGTTTCCCCCCAGCAACTCGGATTTCCCTCAGCCCCGCACGCGGTGTATAACTGATATTATTATACTCTCCAGCTCCACATAAAATAAGAAAAAGTGCATCAGCGAGCTCACCGAAGGGAAAAGTTTGCGGCTCGTGAATATTTTAAAAAGGGCCGAGGCCGTAAAAGTATCGGCGGAGGAGATGAAAAATGGAGAGGCGGCGAATTTTTATGGCACGCTCAGAACAATGGGGTGCAAAACCGGCGCGTTTAATATCGTGTCTGACTGCACGGCTGACTCGCAGCAGGCTTAATCTGGCAGACGATGTGTGTGTCACGGGCCGAAAACGCCGAGGCGAATTGAATTTCAGATTTATAGCGGCCCGAAAACACACACCGTATGTATTTTCATAAATTGGCAAACCGAGCCAGGAGGTTTGTTTGGTCCTTTGTAATTGCGCCAATAAATGCGTCGATTTATGGCCCTATTAATTGCCTCGGCCGGCATAATGGCGAATTAATTGAGGCTGGGACCAATGAATTCGCTGCTTGCTACCATAGATAAACGTTGAAACAAACACAATCATTATATTTTGCATTTTGCCTGAGCGCTGTTTACCTTTTACGAACGGTCCAATAACAATGCGCGAGATATTTTCTGGCCTTTATCCTGCAGCCTCGACTGTGCAGCTTTGTGTGCTTTATTAATTAAATGCCCTACCTGAAGGGAAAATAATTTGCCAACAATATATTATAATTTTTAAGCAAATAATGATAATAATAATAATGCTTATTATTAATAAAGCTCTCGAGACAATATAAACCTCTCCCTCCTCGCATTATTAGAGCCCTTCACAAAATTTTAAATATTTAAATGACATTTTAATAAGATATTAAGATATTAACATTACATTAGATTTTTACTTCGTACGATCATAAAGAACAGTTTTTTTTTATTAAAATTTAAGTATTTTTTTATGAAAATTTTCTTGTTGGACCATTTTAGCAAAGAATTATGTATTGACAGTGACCAATCTATCCCAGCCCTTGCAGTTTTAAGATTAATTATTTCTTATTACATTATTGTTTTTCAGTAATTTTTTTAAGACTTTTTGTGCAAAGTTCAAAAGATAAATAATCCAGCATTTAATTTATTTTTATTTCTTTATCTAGGCGCACAAATTAAATCAGGTACATAAGATCAATCATATCGTTTCCTTCACTATTAACCGATAGTTTATAATTTTAATTAGTTCAAGTCACAAGAAAACAGAAGATTTTGGAACACATTATAAATTAATTAAACAACTAAAACGATTTTTCTGTCAAAATTCACACTTTCCCTTCTCTCGTTTTGTGTAATTAATTTTAATCATTTTTAAATCATGAATTCCTTTATTATTTACTACACAGATGCTTCTGAATTCTTTCAATTTAATCATATACTTAAAAACCATGGTTGTATTTTTCACTTAGTTTGATATAAAAAGTTTTAGAGTGCAGGGTATGGAGTCTATGGAGATCAGTCACTGCTGAGACATTGCAAAGCTTCTCCACGCACAATTTACCAGTGAAAATGTACTGTCGTCCGAGAGAAAAATCTCCTTCCTGAAACTCGCAATACCAGAGGAGCTTTCCGAGCCGGTCGCTTGCCAAAATTTCCGTTTCCTTATTCTTTTTGTTCTGCGTGGAGTCGCCGCCGAAAATGCCGCACGGTCAGGCACTGTTATTTGTTATTTATTTCATTTTGTAGAATTTTGAGCGAAATTTGTTTACCAACAGTCAGGGCCGAAATGACCGTCGAAAAATGAAAAAAAAAGTAACATGTTTGTCTTTGCCGAACTTGTGTTTTTTTGTTTAAGAACGGCTCAAGATACACAAAAAAAAAAAAATAATAATGCATCGGCAAACAAGAGAGAAGGGAAGCAGAGCCTTTGAATGAGCATATATGTTTCTTTCCCGAGGCTGGCGAGTGAGCAAAGAAACTCGGAATGATCTGTATGTAAACACAGCCTGCGGGCGGCGAAAGTAGCAGCTCCACTTTCAGCTCGAGTTGCGAAAGTGCCGCTCCACACCTGCTTTGCTCTCTCTCTCGGAGCATTAAAATGCCCCGGCTGCTCTATTACGACTCCGTTTGTTTCAAAATTATTGTTCTCCTTGTAGCTGCGTCTTGCGTATTTCCGCAGGCGTGTATATTTATTGCTGCTCAACAAACCAGATCTCTCTGGGCGCTTTCGGGCGTGGAGCAGCCTTTTTAAAATTTCGCGATAAAAGTTTCTTCTGAGAGCAAGTTCATGCGAGTGGTAATAATAGGACACGAAGAGCAAGAGCAAGAAGTGTAGACCTCCCCGAGATACGAGAAAGCCTCCGCCGAGCACATTCATATCTGGCTGAATCGCCTCGCAGAGATGATAGCAGGGGTGCTTGGAGAAAATGGAAGTTGCGTAAAATAGGGCCCATATCAAATTTTAAACAAGAAACGCTTTTCCTCGCTGCAGATATTTTAAAATCGCCCTCTTTTCAGTTTCAGCTTTATCAATCTTCACTTTAATCAGTTGTGGTCTGAAGTGCTGTTTTGCAATTCAATTTCTGGAAGTGAAAATTAGTTTCTTTCTTTAATTATTTCCTTTCAGAATTAAATATTATTATTTGAATTAAAACACGCAAGCATTTGTGACTTTTTCCTTTAAGTTTACGAATAAATTAGATTTTATATTTAAATTTTTTCAACACTTCACAATGAATTCATATTCAGAATAAACGTTTCACAATGTGTATCGAAAATAGAAATAGTTCATTGACTAATTTGAAAAATAATAATAAATTATAACATTGCACAAGATTTAAAGAAAATTAGTAAAGCTTGATTAATTTCCTCTTTTTTTCAAAGGTCTGCTTGCTCTGCTTTTCTTTTCTTGGAGGCAAACTTTGCGCCTTGAAGTGCCCCATGCACTGATGCCGCTTCTTGTCATTATTATTGGTCCTCCAGCAGTCTGTTCATAATTAACTAACTAAGTAGTGAAGCTCGCACAAGTCAACAGCAGAACGCTTTTAGGCATCAACGCGTACCAATGCGGATTGATTACCCCGGTGGATTTATGCACATTACGTAATTGCTAGAGTTAAAAAAGTGACGTTTTTTTCATTGTCAGACTTAAAAAGGTGTTGTGCTTCAGTCCCATTTTTTATTCATAAATTTATTAGCTATACAGGCATAGACAGAATAATTGATTTGAAGAAGAGAACGATATTTTATAAAAATCATTGATCGTAAAACAAGGAAAAAATTCAATTATCAATTATTTATAGTTTTAACATTTAACATATCTATTAATTATGAGAACATGAGATGAAATCTTACACAACCTCTGTGAATTTAGAGGTAGACAAATTCTTCTACACCAACCAGTGGTAACTGTTAGATTTTTTGAAACAATTGATGGCGTATGAATTAATATAACCATAAAATACAACACTCCTACAATGACTGAAAATAAATGGAAAGAGACTAACTTTAAAGATCGGCACCTTTTTACGAGGTATGCTTGCCATGGTTTTCATCATTTGTTATGTGAAAATAAAGATTACCACTGTGCAGCAAACAAAAACTGTAAATGTATAAAATGTGGTGAACAAATTGGAATGTATCACCTATTCGAATGTAAAAAGAGTGACTTAACACTAACTAAAGCAGCTTCTATGAAAGTTTAGTGCAATTACTACCTCTTCAGTTTTTACTATTATTATATGCATAAACAATTAATATTCATGCATGTGTCTGTATACCGTTGGTATTTAATAAAAAGAATTAATTAATAAAATAAGTTTCTAATATTTGAAAGTTATCAGCATTTTACCATAAATAAAACGTGTATAAAAAAACCTTTGATACAAACAAAAAATAACACACAATTTAAATTAAAAAAATAAATAAAGCAAATAAATTGTAAAAATATTAAATAAAACTTTTACATTATTTCAGAAACATGTGCGTTTTATAATTAATACACAAATTTTTATTTTATTACTGTTTCAGAATGCAGAGGGCTTCGATTGATGCAGTTGTCAATTCCACCGTACGCCAGCTTGGGAATGCCCGTGGCGATGGGTTGCACCTTCGACACGGAGGATGCGAACCTGTACTCGGTCAAGTGGTACAAGGACAACGCCGAGTTCTGCCGCTACATGCCCAGCCAGCACCCATCCAGTCTGCTTTTCCCAGTGCCCGGCATCATAATGGACGTGAGTTTGACTTTTCCCAGTTAATTTTTTTTCAACATGCCAATCAAGGCGATCCTCCTCTTCGGTTTCATCGGCAAACCAATTATTCGCTGGCTTGACGATCGCTCCTTACGCTCGATTGATTTCCCGGCGGTGCCCCTCTGACCTTTGCCCTTCTTGCTTGGCGCAGGCAAAAATTATCTCTTCCCTGTCGAAACAAAGTTTGATGGGTTTGGATAAATTGACGAGTTCCTCTTGAAAATGAGATTTTCAGTTTTTTTTTTCAACTTGAAATATTCCATTGGGCAGGTTTTTAGATTATTATTGAATTGCCCTTTATAAAATCATTACAATAATAACATTTTGAATTAAAATAACAACTCAGTGTGCCAGTAACAGAGAAATCAATTGAAAGGAAGAATTTTGGTGCAAAAGACAAATTAAAACTCATTGTGAATCAGCGCATATTTTCATAAAGGTTCGATTATGTTTATATAAAAATTGATGGAAAGTCAACAATACGCCAATTACCATTTCATTTCCCGCTCCATTTTTCATTTTTCCAAAACATTTCGGCACAAAGAATCCATTTTAATTTCAAATTGACGCACAGCAAAGAACTCAAAAGAAAACAGTTCCAGTTGGGTGAACAGATTCGGCGGCGAAAACAAAAAGCCTTTGTTCGCGGCGGCGGCTTTTGTGTTTTGTGCACTTTCCGCGAAACGATTGAGTTCCTGAAGCGGCTCGTTAAATTGTTTACTATGCAACCGGTTGGGCCTTAATGCTCAGCGGGCTGCATAAACCGTTTATTGCCAACACTGTGGGCCAGAAAGCGCGCTCGCCAGGACTGCCTTTTTTACGCGCGCACAACAATTTAAAATCCTCAACGAGCTTATTTTTAATCTGTTTGCACAAAAGAGGCAAGGAGAGGAACTTTGGGCAGAAATAATATTAGGGACGTCACAAAGCTGCTAAGCAAACAAGTCTTACCCTTCTTGTATTATGCGTAGCTCGTTATTTCACTGTCAAGTGATGAAAGATGAAAATGTAAAGTGCCTCGCTTCGTCGCTACGCAAACTCTGGCGGCGCGGGGCTCTTTTTTCATCCCGAGTGAAAGGCAGTCCAAGAGCTGAAAGCAGCGCAATGAAAGAATGGAATTACGCCGTGGGACAAAAATCTTGAAGTAGCGAGTTTTGAAATGACTTGAAACACACGCTCCGATTGCCGTGTAACATTTTTGCACGGAAATAAAGTGAACATGATGAAATATAAAAATAATTTAAGCTAAATTGCTTTTCCATATACAAATTTAAAAAAAAAAAATAATAATAATAATCTCCTACTCTTGAAAATTTTCGTCTTTCTCGTATGTATATTTTTCAAGTTTATTGTTCAGGTATGATTTTAAACTTTGTAAATTGAAAAAAAAAATGTAGGGCATCAGAAAAGTTTTGATTTAAAAAAAAAACTTTTTACTTATTTTGTTTAAATTTACATCACACGTTAGTAAACAAAGTGATTCAAAATTAGTTTTTAGAGTCAAAATGTTCCTGGGCCTAAAATGGGGCCGCCATTAGTAAAAGAATTTACAAAAATATTCAAAATTCAAGATGAAATTTAATGTCGTATCAGGAATGCTGCTTAAAATTTCTAGACTGCAACAATTTTAGCCAAAACATTAATAAAATATGCAAGATCAATCAAGTAAATTAACTATTTTCAATTTTTATTGCCATCATTCCATAAATAATTTGGTTTTAAATTTTTCGAGCATTTATTCTTACCTTTTTATTTGTAATCTTATAAATGGAAGTTTAATCTTATTCAAACATAGTCACAGTTCATTCCAAAAAAGCTAATCCTATCTTCAAAAGTAAATACGAAAACGTGTCGAGCAAATTTTCAGAATAATTTCCTGTATCAACAAACTCTGAATTCTAAACCGGTGGGCAGAAAAAGTACAGAATTACGTATTCATAAACAGGAAAAGTTGCCGGTCTAATTGTTTTCCATTTTCCAAGAAGTTTTGCCCGTCTTGCATTTTTACGACTTTAATTAGCAAGTTTGGTAAGCAAACTTTGGTGTATGGTTGTTGCTCTCATGAATATTTCCGGCTCAGAGTGGCCGGTCGCTCCTTTTGCCGCCCGCAGCCACGAAAAACGCACAGCAGAATTGCAAAGTAGGGGGCGTTGTTTGGCCGAAGAGAAATCGCGTTCGGCAGCAGCACGCAATCAAAACTTGGCCATGAATGTTTCATGCAAATACACGGCGGCGAACGAGCTCCGCAACAAAAATTGTGCTCGCGGAAAAATTTCCAGCGAGCCTGTGTTTCGTTGAACTGCGTCATTTCATTTCGCACGAGCACTTTGTCGCGATTTAATATTTCAAACGCTCGTTTCGATCGAGCAGGATTTCTCGCTCTCTTTATTTATGCACTGCTCTGGACAAAAAAAAATGAAATACTTTGTTCTTTGAGTCATGATGTAAAATTGCAATGTCAACAAATGATAATTAATAAAATATATTTATCTATTGATATTTATTATCACTAAAATATCAAAGTTTTTCTTATAACGCAATATACGATTTAAAAAAGGCTGATGGAAGAAAAGCTGAACTTCAATTTAATGTGAAATCAATCATAAACTGAGTTCTTCAAAATCAAACTGCATTTATATGTATTTTACATAATCTTACTTCACAATGTAATAAAGTTTAATTTAAATTAATATTTTATATAGTTAGCAATTATTTTACAATTCAAAGTTTCAATGAATTTAAAAACATCAAATTATTTAATTAAGCATATTTTATAATCATAAATACAATATTTATATTTTTTCACCTTAAAAATTAGCTAATTTTTTTTTTTGTACTTGTGTAAATATAATCAATTTTCTAATATTTAAAATTGGCCTATGATTACAGCGTGATATAATTGGTGTAGAAATGCTATTCAATCTTCTTTGTGCCAGATAACAATAATTATTCGATGCTAATGTGCTATTTAAAATATTTTATGCAATGATTTGTAAGAACTCGGTCTGGAATTCATAATTGATCCAGCTTTTCACCCGTCAACTTTTTTCAAATCTTTTAAAATATTGCGTTACAGGAAAAAATTTGACTTAAAATATAAAAGTTTATTTAATAGAAATAGAAACATCGTCAGAAACAAATAAATGAACAAATGCACAAATTTTATATTATTCAAAAGAATTCGCAGATCACGAAATACAGCTCAGCCAAATATAGCTGGTTGACATAATTTGTCCTTTATGATGCTTGTGAAAATTACACAAAGACCGCCAAAGTAGATTAAGAATATACGAAATTGGGTTATAAAGTATCATTCAAGTCTTGTAATTAATTATTTATTCATTATTTTTCAGGAAAGTGGATGCCAAATGGCCAGCGTGCAGCTGCGAGAGGCAACCCTTGAGACGACGGGGACTTATCTGTGCGAGGTTTCGACGGAAAAGCCCAATTTCGAGACCAAAGTTCGGCTGGCCAATTTGACCGTGAGAGGTGAGCGCCCCTTTTGGCTGCACAAGCCCTTTCCCTGCTTTTTTCCAAAGAGAGCTTGGTCTGAAAATTTTATGAAACAGAAGGAATTTGCTTTATCTCTTCCCCTTTTGGCACCAAGTCTGCTTTTGCGAGTTTGTGCGCGCGCGAAAGAGCGAAAGCGGCCGGAATCTTTTTATATGTAACACAAAGAAGGAGGCCACGAGGGTTAGATACATCGCACTTGCGGTTGACAGCCCTCGGAATGGGGTTGTTTATTGGCTTGTACGCTTCACACTTTTATATATGAAAACGGCGAGGGACGCTTTAAGAGAAAGGATAAAAGCAATTTCGCAAAGTTTTTTTCCATCCTTTTTATTTAAAAAAAAAAAACGTGCCAGGGAAATTGTAAAGAACGACAAGGCGAAACAATCAGGCGGAATTTGTTATTCTCTTTGAGACCTTTAAGAACGCGATACTCTTGAATTTTTGCTTTATCTCCCCTTTAGCAAGCATTTGTCTTTATGGATTTGAGCAATATCAGATTCCGCGCGCCTAATGAGCCGAACACGCTCTCGACTGTTGACATTAATTTGAAAAGCTGGAGGAAAACCTGCTACTGAGGATTTTTCTTCCCGACGAGGCGCTTTCTGCACAAGAATTCGTTATCCTCTGGTGCCGGGTTGCATCGCCAGCAGCAGAGAAGGAAAAAATCCACTTGGCACCAAGCCCGCTGCTAGCCAGAAGATTTAAGAGAGCGTGTAATGCAATAATAAAAAGCAAATGTAGTTTCACGAAAGTAGGATAATTTCATATTGTCGCTACAATTTACGTTCCTCTGAGACAGTCTTGCAGGCGATTTAAGTCAGAGAGAAAGAAACAAAATTCATGATGCTGTGCAGAAGGAATGTGGTTAAAATGGGGTAGATTTGTTTAAATTTACAATGTGTTGGTTAAAATTTTTTCTAAGCAATTATTCTCTTGCGGTACATTTTTAGTCTCAATTCAGCTTTAAAAACACAAATAAATCTATAAAAATTTAATTGCCAGATTCTTTTAAATTTTGAATTTATAAATAGTTGAACATTTTTTCAAATTCATTTTAAATTTTAGAACTTCTCAAGAATGTATTTTATTTGAATAGAAAATGAAATCCAATTACAATAGATTTTTTTCCGGATTCCAAAGATTGACGATCAAGGGTGCACGGGCAAAGGAAAATACACATAAATTTTAAAGGTGCACTGCAAGCAGGGGTTGAAAAGGCGTCGGTTTCGACGTGGCCGAAAATGGGGCTATCGCTCAAGTGGAGCCACAAATGATTGACCTCAATTTCCTGCCGTCGTCTGAAGCCGGTTAAAATCCAGCGCCGGCAGGCCTGAATGCTTTCTCGAGAGTAACAAGTCTTTGTTATCTGCACACTTCAATGGGCCAGTAAATTTATCGTGGCTCTGCCACCAACAATGGGCCGCAAAGAAACCCAATCATGCGTTGATAAGGAAAATATCCCTTTAAGACGCGCGTATAATAAATATCGGCCCTGCGCGTACGGCCCCTTTGAATGTTTACAAGGGTCTCTTTCTCGTTAAATTACGGTCTCCCGCGACTTCATTATCCGCCGTGTACTTACTCCATTTTTAATAATAAGTCTCTCTGGAGGGCGGAACAAAGAAAGGGTCCGCGCCGGCCGCGTTCCTCCCTCGAGTGCCGCCGGCAGCCCTTAATTATTGACTTATCAACGAGAATCCCCCGAGGAGCTAATTTATTTCTTGTCAATTTGCTTTTGATTGATAGTTTCTGCCGCACGGATGGAGCTTTGTGCACCTCCACGGCCTATTGATTTATGCAATTGGCCTGTTCATTGAGTGGGTTCAGAGGATATCGCTCTCCTAAACGTTGAAAAATTCATAAGAAAAAAGATCGATTTAAAATAATACATTAAAAAAAGTGTGGAATGTTTAAAAGTGCGGTTATTAGTTTGAAAAAATGTAGTTTTTGAAATTTAAATATAAAATCTAGAACTTAATTTCCTTGCAGGTTTTTTTTATTAGTAATAATATAGATTAATTTTATATAAATTTACAAGATACCAAAACAAAGCAGTTAGTCAAAACCTCGTAATATTTGTACCTGTCATTTTATTTATATTATTTGCGCTATTTTGTTTATAATAGCGAAGTCAGTTAATTAGATGCTCTGAAAATACCCTTTTCATGAGATCCTGTTTCATTCAACCACTCTTTTAAGTTTATGTTTGCGTTTCGTGAGTTCCAATAACACGCAATGTAATTGAATAGAGCAAAAAACCCTTAAAAAATTTGCATCCTCGTTCTCTCCACTCTTTGCTGAAAAAATGCTCATCAACATTGTTTGACAGAAGAACCTAAAACCGTTTCAAAGCAATTTTTTGTTTATCACGCTCCCCAAAAGCAAACAAAAGGTATGTTGCTTTGAGCATTGCGAATTCGGGCATCCTTTTTTTTTATCCCTGTGCAAAAATTCCAAGCCGGCAAAACAGGCCACTATTATTCCAGGACACGCAAACAAAGCTCGAGTGGATATCACATTTTTTGCTCGCACCTTAGCCACCATGGGAAAGCGTTTGCATAGAAATTACTAGCTGCAGCAAGGCCTGGGACGCTCCTCGGAATAATATATATTCAGCCGCACACTCGGCGGCTCAACATTTGCGGCCTCGCACGTCTACTATCGGCTCTGGCACTCAATAAGTAATTCGGAGCGCACTCGGCGGTCGAATTAAAAGCGGGGGAACTTCATTAATGGCACTGCAGCGGCAGCTGGTCATCAATTCCGGCCGCTCCTTTGTGAATATAAATCTGCCCGCCTAATAAAGGCAGCCTCAAGCTTTGCGGCGGAAAATCCGCCTGTCTCTCCCTTTCTCTCAGTGAGCAAATCGCGCTCTCTGAAATTGAATTAGAGAGCGAATAACGATGAGGCTCACCTTTGATTACACGCGCGCTTTTGATGATTTTTTAATCCACTTATCTGCCGAGAAAACTTTGGCATAACTTTGCTAATTTGAATTCGAGCAAACTTTTGAGAAGACGATGCACACCTGATGAGTTCTAACTTTTCGTGCTTCTTGTTTTGTTGCACAGCTTTTTTCTTTTAGGATAACAAGGAGAACAAAGGAGAGACAGTCATGGGCACATTATCTCTTGAAAGGGGATAAAAAGAGGCACTCGAAGAGGTTTCATTTCCACACAGTTTCATCCCAGAGATAAAGCTCCGTCTTAATCAAAGCCCAGTAGAAAGAAACTGTTGCGGTCTTCAACTGCTCTTTTTTTTCTTACTTTAACTCACCCAGTAAAATTGTTCAGTGCCTCTTACCAGCTTCAATTTTAAAATTAACCTCATTACCAAGGCTCCTGTCAAAAAATTTTTTTTATTCAACCCATTATTATCATATTACAACCCATTAGACATTCAATTATGTAAAATCATTCATCTTCAAGTATACGCATAAAAGACAAGTGTACGTTAAATCATCAATATAATAAAACTGGCTAAGAGCTGGTAGAATTTGTTTAAACTTTTTTTATTAATCAAATGATTTTCCAACCATAAGCATTGAGCTATTTTAATTAATAGTGCTCTTCTTTTTAGTACTTCGTACATTTTTATGTTATGTTCCTTCTTTAAATAGAGAAAATATAAATAAACCTATTTCGTGAACTCTAAAATAAAATTTTTAGAAATAATAAAAAATAAATTTTAAAAATATTTATTTATTATTAAGCATTATATTTGATAACTACAGTATAAAAAAAATAAAAAACTTGCTAAAACTAGTTTAACTAGTTTGATTTTTTTCTAATAAAATTAACAGGGGCAAAAAATGCAGATTCAATTTCACTGAAGCGCTTTAAATTTTTTTATACTAATTGATTTTAGTTTTTTTTCATTTTTAAATATTTAAATCTATTGTCTATTGTATGTATCTTAATTAAAGCAAGTTTTAGTTTTAAATTTAATCTAGTAGTTAAATACTTCTCACAGATTTCAAGTAAAAATAATTGATAAACTTCTACCTTGGCTGTCTAAAATCACATTAATTTATCTCTCATCGCAGTCTGCGCATGTAAAATACATGAGAATTTGTACTGAAACATGAATCCGTTTCACCATCTGTTGGAGAAAACTTTTGCCAACAGCAGAACTGGCGAAAGTGGAACACGGAAAGAATGAATCCCAGCAGATCATTTTCGCCGAGGAGAAAATGTACAAATTATTGCGCGAGAGACATTCTCATTTCCTGAACAGATGCTCTTTCAGGCCACTTCATTTTTATTTCGCTCCCCCTTAAGCGAAAGAGAATAGAAGTGCAGCACGGAAAACGTCATAAAGCGCGCCGTCGTCAAAGTTAATGCTGCAATTAGGGCAATTAAACAATTTTCAAGTTCCATCTCTTATATTGTGTGTTTAATGTGTTCCGCCCCGCTTGTTTTGCTTTTGCGAGTGCCTGGCGGGTCCTCTCGACTGCAATAAGTACAAAGGGCGGCGCTGCACGGCAAGTGTAATAATAATACACACGTCGTTCTGCATATACGAGCGGCACAAATAAAATTATTGCTCAACAGCGGCACTTCTTGCCAGCAGAAACAATATTAAATAACAGCGAGAGAACGGAAGGAAAACAAAAAGCACGCGCCGCCTTCGGTAATTTTATAATAGCACTGCCTGTGTGTGTGCCAAACGGAACCGCCGCGCCTGATTCCAATTGTGCTCCTCCAAACGTGTATTTATCGCTGCGAGGCGAAATAAAACAGAGCCCCGTGTTTTCCCACCGAATACAAATGGCAAAAATAAAGAGAGAGCAAGGCTTAGCGAAATTGCAACTTTCGAGGGCTGTGGATTATGAACGTCTTTGCCAGAGCGTGCGTCGGATAATTAATTTTTAATTAGTTCACTTCCAAACTTTGTCGTATATGATAATTAAATTGAGATGAGAAGGACGGGAAATTCTTAATAAGCATAATTAATAAATAACTTTGTTCCTTAAA